GCTTCTCCCATGCACTGCCAGTCTTTCTAAGCTAATAGCATTCAGGGTATGGCCTGTTGGTAGTGTATGAGGTCAGTTTATGTATTGTTGATATATAAAAATATTACAGAAAAGCTTCACTTTTCCTCTCTGGAAGACTCGAGGTCTGATGCTGTGTTCTTCAGTAAATATTCCTGGTGATTGCTAAGGTTTGCAAAGCATTCTTCACCTTTTGCCAACCTGATTGTCATTATTGAGCTCTTTATCTTTTGCTCTCTCCCATACAGTGTGTAGAGCCATTGCATTTCCTATACAACATAGGATATATATGGTGCATGGTGTGCTCTTTAAATATATGGTATGTTAGGATTTTAAAAGGGATTTTTCTTAGTGTCATTCTTTGGTGTTATTTTCATCTTCTCATTTTTACAGCCCTTTGCTAATAAAATGGAGAGCTCACGGGATATCATTGGGATGCACACAAACGTGGCACTAAATGACCCCATGCTCAAAGCAGATTAATGTACAATTATCCCGTTTTGTTATCCACAGCCCAGTTTTGCAGGATGGTCTGTGTTTGCTCGTATATTGTATTCTAAGCACCAACATCTTGAATGTAAAGACTGTATTTTAACTTCCACATAAAGAGTGAATTCAGTCTTATTTTGCATCTCTTGAAATGACCCATATTAAGGGACAGCTGGAAGTGCTTACAATGTACTCCGCAAGGAAGTTGATGACAGCACCAGGTTATTTAAAAGTGTTAATTGATATGGGCTGAATAATTTTTAAAGGTTTCATTTTCAGCCCTGTGAAATGAATTGGTCCAAAGCAGCCGTTGCTTCTGCAGTAACTGGTCTTATGTTACCACATTACCAAAGGAGAGTAGTTTGTCCAATTAGGCTTGAATCGCCATGTTTGGAGATGCAGTTAATGTAATTACACTTCTATTGGCACCTCTTTCTTTCTGCTCTTTAAGAATTCTAGTGAGCAGTAGAGGAAGGATTGGAAATAAACTGAGGAATGTGACCTGTCAAGAGTGTTTCCATAAAATCTGAACTTTCCAAACATCCTAATATATAAAAGCGTGCTGTAGCAATTGCATCTCTTAGAATGTAATGCTATGTGAATACCTGTGTTGATCATTAAGAAGTCTTTCTGCTTTTTTTTCTTCTTAGGATCACTGAATGAAAACCTTTGTGGTAAAGTCCAGCAACAAGGAAGGTTTTATCAGAATATGTCACTTTCCTCAAGTCTTTGTAGTGCAGCTGCAAAAGTTGCTGTAATCTTCAAGGTTTGCTCTAGGAGAAAGGACGTCAGGAATAAAGTGGGGTAGCTGCTTAGTCTCCTTCCAAACGGCATAAAAATGAATGTGCAGGCAGTGAGTTTAAATACATCCTTGAATTCAGTTATTTAATAGAGATTGTAAGTAAGTCTGACTGGTAACAGAGTCTGCTGTAAGGCACGCTGTATTTTGCATCCCTCATAGCCAGCAGCAATGACTGGGGGAAGAGGCTTCACCGAGCTGCAATACAAAGGCTTTGTGGCACTGGCATCTGATCAAGCCTCCTTCTGTATCTGACAGCATAAATGTTGGAGCTCTTTTGGTGTGTGCTCCTCCTTTGACTTTATTCTAACTGAGTAAGTTCCTTTTGTGTTGTGTTGGTTTGGTTTTGTTTTTCTTTAAACATGAACTCAGGAATACTTCAAAGCATCCCTGGGAGATTTGCTCCCTACAGATGTTGGCTGTATCCAGCCATTGCTGACGGCAAGCTTCAGCTGAAACCAGTGAAAACTCACATTAAGCATGGTCAGAAACTTGCTGAATTTACATTGGATAGGATATAAAACAAATAGCAATTTTCACCTTATTCATAAAATACTTAAGAGAGGATGAAATTACTGTAGTTGTTACGGCCATTCACCTTTTCCTTTTACCTCACAGGTACTGGCTTGCAAAAACGATAGGGTAGAAAAGTCCTTGATGTTCTTAGGCGTTATCTCCACTATTCAGGGCTTCTTGTATGTACTCTTTAAGGCTGACATCTCTTCAGCCTGACAAAAGTTTGTTTTTGTGTTGGACAAGGGCTTAATTTCCAACTAATTTTCAGTACTTGTCTCAGGTTGTTTTGGGCTTCTCTGCCTCAGCGATCCAGGCATCCATCCAGCTCTGCAGGTGCAGTACATGTTGTCAAAGGGTGTTAATCTGAACTAACTCTTGAGTTGAAAACCTGCCGTGTAGTAAAAGCTAAACAAATGTATTTGTGCCTAGTGAATGCACTGAAGAGAGTACAGGGCAGAGGAGGACATGGTGTAATGTGCTGTCTAACTGCGAACCAGGCTGTCCAGCAATACTCTACATAAGGAAGCAACTGTCTGCTTATAAAATTGTTTTGATTGAAACCTAATTTGTTCCTCATATAGGGAAAGAAGTTTATTCTGTTTTCTGTACACATTCTACAAATGCTATCTCCTCTCTTCCTCTGCTTGACTGCATTAATCTCAGCCTGTCTAGTGCAAAGAGGAGGAGGGAAATGAGCAGTTGTCTCCTTTGTTGAGAAAACTGCTTAGTTGTTTTTAAAGTACATTTTTAAGAGATAGTACTCTATCTTCTTTACTTGCATGTGCTGTAACTTCCTCCTTTGTTTTCAATACAGGAAAGTTCTTGTGATTTGAAGTTAAAGCTGCCTTTTTTCTCTCTGTCTTAAAGTATAGGGCAGGGGCAGCATATGTGTGAGCTTTCTCTGTGCAAGTGGGTTCACTGAATTTGCATGTTCATACAGGGAAGGTGATTAGTAGTTAGGCTGGAGTGCAAATTGTGTTTTGCCTGACACTTCAATATGCTAATCGTTAGAGCTGAGTTTCTGCTATCAGAAAAATAATCTTCACCTCTGCTCTCCCTGTAGCTTGCTAACATAATCTGCTCTTTTGGGTGATATCTTGACTTACTGCAGGAGTAGTAGCACCACCCTCACAGGGAAGAACTTCCCGAGATCTCATCTCAATCTCCCCTCTGGCAGGTTCAAGCCATTCCCCTTTGTCCTGTCCCTACAGGCCCTTGCCCAAAGCGCCTCTCCAGCTTTCCTGCAGCCCCTTTAGGCACTGGAGCTGCTCTAAGGCCTCCCCTTCAGGAGCCTTCTCTTCTCCAGGCTGACCCAGCCCGGCTCTCTCAGCCTGGCTCCAGAGCAGAGCTGCTCCAGCCCTCGCAGCATCTCCATGGCCTCCTCTGGACTCGCTCCAAGAGCTCCATGCAACTCCACTTTTAAATTATTTTTTTCCAGTTGGTTTATAATGTAAACTTCAGGAACTTCCAATTTTCTGTAATCTTTCTGCTACTAAATTGCTTCCCAGCAGATAGTTTTCATAGAATATGTGTGCAGGATTTAATATAAAGATAAATGGTAGTATATCTAATGCATATTTGTATGTATGTCTGTATATGCAGCATGCCTATGTGTGTATTTGTACCTAGTATAAAAATGTCTCATTTCTTACCTGTCTCCTTGCCATCTTTACAATCTGTACATTACGTGTACCTAAAACTACGACCAACTGTGATAGCTCTGACAGCGTGAAATCTGTGGGGTGAGCCTTAAATACTTTGTCTTGGTTTCCAGTTAATATCTGTAAACTCCTCATGTTGCTGCTGAGCTGCAGCGTGTACTTTATGTTCTCTCAGGGATGGCACAACCCACGAACAAATTGATTTAAAAAAACCTAAGATTTTATGTAAGCAGGAAGATGTTATAACAAATCGATCAGCCAAGGGCATACTAAAGTACATCACCTTCCTAATAAAAGAAACAAATTCCTGTGGAGTAGGGCTCCTGGGCCACATAACAGTGTTTTATTAAGGTAACAGTAAAATGGAATAAATGAATGATAATGCATGGATTATATCCCTTAACACCAGTGGAAAATTCATACATGCAAATGCCTTCTAAGAGTTATGTTTCTGCAATGTATTGAGATGTCAGGGTTCAGAATGGGAGAACTTGGAGCAAATAGTTGTCAGTGTTGGTACAGCTGTGAGTTACAGAGCAAGCAGATTGAATGTTCTAATTACCCAATGTCATTATAAGAAATAACACAGTTCATTTCTGTATTTCCATTTGATGCAAACCATTAATTCACTGCACTGGAACATGAAAGCCCAAGTTTGGAACTGTTAGTTTGAACGAAACACAATCCATTCTTTTCATATGGCAGGCTGAAGTAACTGATGGTACCTTTTATTGACTGCAACGTGTGTCTCAGCCAGCAGGTTTCACTGGCTTGGATATATGGTTTGAGGAGGATGCTGAAAAAAGGCAGCTCAATTCTGAAATTAATTGAATTTCTTCTGATTTGAAAAATCTCTCTTATTTCTAGGAGGCTTTGAGTAAAGCTGTTAAGATACGTGGAGGGAGATAGAAAAGATCCTTTTCATTACAGATTTGCTTTTGCTGATTTTTGCATGCAGCTGAAATTGCTGAGATCTCAATTCTTTCTCATCCTTTGGAGTAAAATGAAGACTCCCTAGATTTTTCTTTACTCAAATAAACCCTGAAGTGGGATATCAAAATGTGATGTAGGAGAAAATACCTTCTCAAGGAAATACCAAAGCAAGAAGGATTAGAGGCTTGATAATTCCTTAACAAGTATGTCCTATACATGTAAGTCGTGTGACAATCCTTAGAGGGGAACCAGGAGGAGGGAAAAGCAAAATCAACCTAAGGGACCACAGAAGTTGAAGACAGAGATACATGAATACAATAGATTTCTTAAGATAAAACCAGATAGGCTAGGGAAATGCAAGAATTTCCTATTAACTCAACTTTTCCACATGGACACTTAACTGGACTTGTTCCTTAGATGGATTCAGTGGCTAGAAAGTGCCAGAGTTTAAATGTGTGTTCCTCGTTTGTGAAAGTGAACTTCACTGTGCCTCCTTGTGATTCTGTGTTTAAGTGCATTTACTGTTCCATGCTTTGTATGTGGGTTAGTGTGGTGCTACATTACACGTGTGTTCGCTGTTCTAGATCTGGAGCCTTGCCTTGCCTGAGCAACTGTCTGTGCTACCTGTTCCCTGGCCATCAGGGCAGTGACCTGTGCCAAGATGGACCCAGTCAACGACTGCGGAACAAGTATGTCAAAGAACAGAGCCATGGAATGGGTCCAGCTTGTGCTGCTCATGCTTTGCTGCAGAGAAACATCTATAATTTATACTCACGATTTAATATAAAGATAGAGCATTAATAAGGTTTTTGAGGGTATTTTTAATATAACAAGGGGGTTTTAGGCCTGAGGAAATGATAACGATGCGTGTCAGACACTCTTACAACACACTTGATATGTTATTGGAGTTTAAATATTACTGCACTGCTTTAACGTGTTTCCGGTACTGTTGGTTAATGTGTAAATGCAAGTTGTTCTGGGGAGACTTATCCCTTTTCAGAAACAGTTTTAGATGAAGCACTTTTGTTTTTCTTTTGCCATGTGACTTCTGTTCACATTCTAGGTTTTCCTCCCTCCGTTCTGTGTTGCTTGGAACTGCCATGAATTTTTCCAGTGTGTGATAGTATTCCTGGACTGCTTTGTAATAATCTCTGGTAGCTGCTTTCCTTCCTGGAAGAGCATTCCTTTAAAATAACATGGATATACATAGCAGCTGGAAATACCATTCTTTGCTGTGTGTTTTCTTGCCTTGTACAGAAATACTGTGATTTGTCGGCATAGGGTTGACAGTGATCTCTTTTCCTGGCAAGATGTTTACTCTTCAAGACTTTTTTTCTCTGCTGTAACTATAGGGTAAATACAGGCATTTATTTTGGTAACATTTGGTCTTAAATGGAATGGAATGAGAAATGAAGGAAAAATGGAGATTATTGCTCTGTTTTTTTGCAGGAGCTTTTTTACTCTCATTAGCTTCAGGCCATCAGAAAGTTCTGTGTTGTCAGATACTGCACATAATGATTATGAATATTAGATCATAACCATGTCTGAGAACTGTTTGCTTATTCCCCTGTTTGTACTCACATACTAATGGCGAGGGAGTGCAAAGGAGGTTTTAAAGGGACAGCAGAAGGGCTTGGAATTTTGGTTTAAGCACAGGCACTGAGCAGGAAAAAAAAACCATTTTCCCTCTTACAGATATCCTTCAGGTGTTAGTTCTGCAGGATCCTGGTTTTATTACATCAATCACAAGCAGCTTAAGGCTTCCAAAAACATAGTCACAGACAGATGTTGAGCCTGTCTGGGGATTAGAAATATCCTCTTCCATTAAGTATAAATTAACTTAATCACCAGGTATGAAAGATAAGCAGCATAAACATCATTCCCTGAAGCTTTCATTAAAATTAAGGTTCTATTTAAAACTAGGCTTGTACTTTCTATGACTTGATCCCCCTTCAAAGAGATTATATCTATCTGCTGTAAATTCTTACAGTGACAGAGTGACAGAAATGAATGTATTGGGGGCAGTGCTGTTCTCTATAATTTAACTTCTGCTGCCAGTCATCTTTTAGCAGGAGAGCTGATTGGCTTATTTTTGAGTAATAATTGGTCTCTAGTCTCTGAAAAATGAGAAAGCCTTAAAACTGCCTAGCACCAGTTGCCACAGAAGGAAAGCGTAAAGCCACATGACTTAACAGGAGCATAATCACCAGTAGTGTTATTTTGTGTGTGTAGAATTCACCTGCTTTAATAGGAGGATTACTGCTGATAGAAAGCAATTGCACTGCTGCTTCCTACTCTGTTGGATGACAGGGTGAAGCTCCTTTTCTATCCTACCATAATCATGACTGCTTTCTAAGAATCATTTCCACAGGGGAAGAAATTCCATGGGATTCAGGTTTTTTTCTCTTCTACTCTAAGGCACTTGGTGGTCTAATGTTGGTTTCAATACATCATCAGGCTTTACAGCTGGTTTGTCTTGGCAGTATCCTGTATTACTGTTTTTAAGGCATGCTTTTCTAAAGAAACAAAGGAAACTCTGGAGGAGTAATGAGGCACATAAGTACCTTAAAAGCAAATAGTAAACACAAATAAATCTACTAGGAATAATAAAAGCTACCTCCACAAAAAGTAAAGTATTGGGGACAATACATAATGATCTTTGTTCTATAATAATTCTTTGCTACAGTGGAACAAAGTCTTTCGATGCAGGTTTTGCATTGCTTATCCATTATTTCATTGTAATGCTGTATTTCTGCAGCACTCAGACTAGATGACAGGTAATAGCATGAGCATTCACTGCTTCTGTCACACTGAATAATAAATCTTCAGCTGATGCAGACTGTTACTGCCATTATTCTTAGAAAGTTGGAAATAAGAATCTCAATTAATAACTAGGAAATAACTTTTTTTTCCAGCACTTTGCATCTGAGACTCCTCAAATGCATTTCTTCAGTGATTTAAACTATGTATTAGGGAGCTCTGTAGAAACAAAAACAGAGCTCAAGTGCAACTGTTACATGCAGTTGGATGTTCATCCCACGTGTGTCGTATCTGCTTTGTATCTCTAAAGGGTGTCCCTTCTCTCTCTGGTGTGCTGCTGCACTGATTCTAGTCATCACCTACTAAAGTAGGAGTTCAGTGAAACTATTTATTCACAGTATCACTGTTAAGCACTTTCAGTTTTGATTATGAGGTTTGAAATGGTTTATTGGATTGAGCTTTAGTTTAAAATACAAGGGAATTAACACGGCCTTTCTGACTTCTGATTTGTTGAAAACCTAAGCGCTTCTAGAAACTCCTCTGATCCGTGATAATTCAGCCAGGAGAGCTCTGTACAGCTCCTTTGAAAGGGAAGTGTTAGTCTTTGAATAGTACTTGTTGATAACTGCAGTATGTGTCATTGCTTGTGTGGCTGTTGGACATTACCTCATACAAACTTCATTTCTTGCCAAGCAAAATGTGTAGGACAGTACATGAGCTTGTCTAAGGTTCTGAGTTTGAAGGGTGGCTCTACTCTTCTCTGCATATGATATAAAAACCTCAGAAGTATTCTCATCCATCACTTTATGTCCCTAGTGTGGAGCAAGTGAGGATCCACACAATGTTTCAACATCTTGCAAACATTCATTAGCAATGTGTTAAGGTGTCAGACTTGCACAGTCTTCTGTTTTCTTTCAAAAGCCATTTAATCTTTCATGAGAAGTGTTTATTTTTATAAGAAACCCACCCACTCTGAAGAAGCAGTGAACCATCCTTCTCTGAAAGAGGACTGATGTCTGTGGAGCTTAGAGTATGATATGCAGTAAACAAATAATACTCCTGGGATGGCAAATGGAAAGGCTGCAATGAGCAGATGGCTGGGCATGAGAGCTGCTGGGATTGTAGATGACAGGCTGCAGGGGCTTGGATTTAACTTCTTCAAGAATCTGATAAATTATTTTGCTTTTGTTAAGCAAATGGCAAGCTGATGGAGTACCTTCTTAATTTGTCCTTGGAGTCACCTAAAATATGTTTGCTAGCTCACAAACAAACTTAGTGGGCTCCATTTCTTTCATCCTTCTAGAGTGAATGCAACGTTAGGCCTTGAAAGTGCATGCAAAGTTAGACATGATCATGCTCACAATAAGGTTAAAGTCTAAGTGATGTGATTATCTGCTTTATTTCTTTTGAGATATGGATTCTTTTTTCTTGGAGAGAGATGGAAATTCTAACTGCTTCCAGGAGACAGGGCAGCTGCTGTGTTTTCAAGCTGTGTTTTGTATGATGGTTGTCTGCCAACAACATGGTGATTATTAGTCCTTATTTCTAATGTGATGGATTCTGCTCTTTGAAATATGGACTCTACTGTGGTTGCTTTGACTACCTCAAAGCATTCTCCAAATGTTGAATAAATGATGTGGAAGAGCAATAATGCTTCTAACATAACTTCCAAAATCTCCTTACTCTCTGGGGTCTAATCTTCCTTTAATACTTTTATCTTTGCGTGACTTCATTATTATTTTGAAAGGAGGAAATGCCTGTTGATGGTTTTTACTTTGCCAGAGGGCGAAGAGGAGATGAATATTCTGTTTCTTTAATGAAACTCACAAGTGGCCAGGCCAAAACAAAAGATGCTGATTATTCACACAAGACGCCATCAAACTATGGCACTTCTTGTTGTCATGTACTGTGAGGGCTGGAAGTCTCTGTGCATTAGTAAAAGCAGTGGGATTAGTTCGTAAGAGAAAATTCATGAATGGTTGATAATGCAGAGCCACTGCTCTGGCTTTGACTTAGTTTCCCAAATGATTTATTTCCATGAATGAGCACACAAATGTATTTCATACCTCCACACCCCAGTAACAAAGACATACCTGTTTCTTAGGAGGTCTGTAAACTGTGGTGATAAATGGGTGGATAGATAGATTTGTCATGCAAATTATTCTCTGTTTTTAACTGTGTTAACATAGTTCTTGCTTTGAGAATAGAGGCTCAGCTGAGGGAATAATTATAGCTTCAGAACCCAGAACATAATATTTTCTTTTATTAGGTAAGCAGTTGTCAGCTGATACCAAAATCGCTTAATTTATACTTCTAGCAATGCCCTAGATTGCACCACGTGAGCATTCCTAAAAATATGAATATTGCAGTTCTTACCCAATTCTACTCTAAGCTTGGCAGGTAACTCTTATATACAAAATGCTGTGAATTCTGAAGCCTTTAATTAGTAATTGCAGATTTGTTTGTCCCTCAGCAACTTGTATTTGCATAAAGATTAAGGCTGGTCAGAATGAAAGGGATAAACCATAGATGGAGGAAACATTAATAAATTAGTAAATCATGTATAAAAGATAAGTAGTCTTAGATGTCATTTCCATAAGCTTTATTAAAATTTAAATTCTTTTTTAAAGATGCAGTTAATATTTTCTCCACAGTTGATAATTTCTAAAGAGATCTGTCATGAGCTGCAGAATGAGAGAAATTAATGTATTGGGGTCAGACATTAGTATGTAAATGAAGCTTTGCTTTTATTCTGTACAGCAACAGAAGCATTACCTTATGTTTGACCTTTCATTCATTTAGCCTGACTCAGCTGTGTCAGTCAAAACAATTAATTCTAAGGAGCAGCTCTTAAGTGTGGGGCTCAGCTTGCTTCTCCTGCCTGTGCCTGTAGGGAATCCCCTGAGAGAAGAGGTAATGGAGGGGACCAGTGCAAGAGTCTCTTGCTGGAGGTTTGGATTTTCTGATCCCTTCCCCACAGCTGCACTGTCCATAGACATTTTGCAGGGTGTTCAGGGAGAGCCCTGGGTGTTGTACCCAAGCTTTCAAGGTGAAACCTTGAATGAGACAGTAAATAAGATACGCGTTGGAAGTCACTTTCTGGAGTGAGAAGGAACTGGATGGTAAATATGCATAGGAATTTTGAGCAGCTCTTTGAATCTGGCAGGTAACATTACAGAAAGGTGAACTTCTCTCTTTTCCTATATTCCAATGAGTTAATGGTAGAAAGGGAGGTGAAAATCCCCCTTGCATTTTCGTTGTTGCTGAACCTTGAGCTGTATTACTGCTTCTCGTAGCTGTACTCAGAGTAGCCTTGGATTGCATGACCCTTGGGGAGTTGTCATCCGCTTCACCCTTATGGTGTGGCGATGGCAGATGGCAGTGAAACACAGCAGAAAATGTAATGGTGCATTGCAAGTGAGCGTAATTCAGCCAGCACTAGGGCAAAAAATAGGATGTGCACTGTTCCCTTGCAAAAATGTGCAGCTCACAGTCAAATCCTGGTTTTATAGATCCTGAGTCTGGCTGTAATATCCCTGAGCTAAGCAGCTTTCCTTAATGAGTCGTGTTGAGACCACGTAGAGATTTGGTGCATACATGTGTGCCCGTAGATCTACAGGAAATAAACTTTTATTGAAGTAGTGTCTCTGGTAGCAGTGGAGAATTACAGTCAGAGTACAGTGTAAGTGCTTGCAGTTAAGGTGAGTCTGCAGAATAGGCAAGTCTATCAATTCACTTTGCAGATAGGGACAAGCTCTTGTGCAGGTTTGCTTTGGAAAGAGGTAGTTCTCTTAAAATCGCAGAAGGTAACTTTCACTTTAATGCAGATCGTGATTAAATTATATGTGCTTTAGGAAATTAAACTTCAGGAAATCTTGAGGGTAGGGGCTAGGCTAAAGAATGAAAACAAACCATTAAACTTTACAAAAACAATAACCTATACAAGCAGATTAAAGAGTACATTCTCTTTTTTTTTACTTAATGGGAGTACAAGATTTGGCAATACAGATTGAGTTACATTTTTCTTGTTCTGATTTAAATATTTTATAGACTTTCCCAGTATATGAGTGGAAAGGAATGAGGCATGCAGTAGCGTACATGGTTTTATTTTTAAAGCACCTTTCTAATAAGAAACATGTTTTTAAAAGCTATTTCAGTAAAAGTCTGAACTGGGATGCTGGTTTTGAGTTTTTATCCATGACCTCAAAGGCAGCTGTCGGCTTTTCTCCATACAAAGGGAAAAAGGAAGTTCTTGGTGGTAATTTAGAGCCTCTGCTTTCTTACTTTCAACAACAATTTTTCTTTCACCATAATACAGGGTTTTTTTTCTACAAACACAGTTTTCTCTGACCCTTATACAAACCCAGCATAGTTCTGCTTGATAATTTGACGTGTGTCCATTGTGTCCATTTGGAACTGTGTCCATTCCTGCTCAGTCAGGGAGACAAGAGTCTTTTGTGGCTCCCATCACTAATGTGTCCAGAGCATTTGTTAACGGTTTGGGTGTTCTCTTCATGGCCATTTCACATTTCTTTTGAGGGTGGGTTGAAAAGCGAAAGGCTGAAACCTCCCTTGTCTAAACTATTGCACTTCCTCAGAAGTTCCAGAGACTGTTGCTTCAGCAAAAAGTCCTGTGAGGGTGCTGAAGCGCTGGCAGAGAAGCTGTGGCTGCCCCATCCCTGGCAGTGCTCAAGGCCAGGTTGGACACAGGGGCTTGGAGCAAACTGCTCCAGTGGAAGGTGTCCCTGTCTGTGGCAGGGGTTGGAACTGGATGAGCTTTAAGGTCCCTTCCAACATAAGCCATTCCACGAAAGAGGTATGGATTTGTGGAGGAAGGACAGATTTGCAGATGAAGACTGTGGTGGGAGACGCTGATCCCCAAAGTCAGCACTCCAACCTCCTGCCTTGGGCAGCACCCGCACCAGAGCACTGGGGCTATAATTAATTTATCTGAAGCTGATCCCTTTAGCACTCTCTTCATCATTTGCTGTAAGAAATGAAATATAGTGAAATTTCCTCAGCTCTACTTGCACCTTTTAAAGCAAAGCTTTTTATTTTATTAAACTGAAAGCATTAATGATGAATGAATAATGTACAATCCAAAACACACTGGAATTTAGAATGAGAAAGGGCTTGAGGCTTCTAGGAGTCATTAAAATGAGAGTTACATTACAAGAAACACAACCTTCTCCCTCCTGAGTGCAAGGTTTCACTTTTGGTCAGGGTCTAGTTCAACTGGCTGAAGATTTGAATTTTTAAGTTAAGGAACAGACCTTTTGAGATTAAAAATAGAAGCCTGCATGCTTACTGTTTCTTGGCTTTATGTAGTCTCAATTTTGGTAGCCAGAGGGTAATTGAGAACAGTGAAACACCATCCAGTCTTCCATGAGAAACCCCCAGAACTAATAATGTATTGCTTTAAGCTTTACTTAACTAATGAAAGAAATAACATTCTTTTCCTTGCAATCTGCAGCAAAGAGGAGCATTACCACAGCACTACTCAAGATCTGCATTTATTCTTTAAAGACTTTTTAGAGCCTTTTAGCTCAAAAGTGATCACATTTATAGATACTCAACACCACTGAACATAAGCGTGGATGCTTTTTACAAAGAACTGTTCCAATGGCTGCTAACATTCAGCATCTAAATAAGCTTGGAGCTGGCATTTGGTGCAGGGAGATGTCTCCAGCCTCAGGTCTGTGTCAAGTGGTCGCATGTGTGGTCACATTTGGGGGTTGCTGCAGTGAATGGTGATCCCCTGCTATTTGAAGGTGACATCTGGAGGTGTGAATGAGTTCAGAGCCCAGGTTTAAGCAGGGTTTAAAACTTGGGTCCAAAAATGTCTTTCAGAAATTAGACATCACAGTTTAGTTCATACTAATTAAAACTTTATTGCTTTCCTTGCAATTCTCACTTCTTTTTTTTCCTGTAAGAGCCCTTTGTCTTGCACTTGCCATACATTTGTTTTCAACATACCTCTCCCTAGAAGTTCAAGGTATAACTTTAAAGTATTCCATACTAAAAGGGACGCAGCGTGGCAATAGAGAAATGTCTTTCAGGGAAATCTAGTGGAAAAGAAAGTCTACAAATCCATGGGGATATTGGTTTTGGATGAGTGACTACAGGCTGGCTGCAAGGGGGCTAAGGAAATCTGCTGCCTTTGCAACCAAAGTCAAAGGTACAGATTTACTGAGATTTGACTTGATAACTTCTCCGGTGCTGTGGGTGGATAATAACCATGTTGATTGCTATCCCCTGTTAGAACAGAACTTTCTGAAGGACACTAAATCTGCTCAGGAACACAAAAGATCAATGCAGTAAAAGCACTAATTTTTTTTACTACCTAGTGTGAATTATGCTTATTCTCCATGATGGGTACTTAGAAAAATGACTGGAAAGAAAATGAAAACCTGCATATGCTTATGTGTGTGCCAGATAATTACCATCAGCTCTCAGACTTCCTGAACTTGGGAGAAGAGCAATCTTTAATTTTATCTGGGTATGTCAAACACAGACAAAGAAGTAAAACTATGTCATGCTGAATAAACATGCAACATCTATTTTGGAACACCATTATCTCGATCAGCTTTATTTAGGGAATTTGGCAACAACAATGAAGATGAAATAATGTATTTTGACAGGATGCACAAAGGATTTGAAGACAAAATAATGGGATTGCCTAGAAATTGTCTCCTGAATAGTGCCAGTCTGCATTTATATGAACAGTATTGCTTCAGAATGTATCATTACAATTTCTTCTCTGCAAATGTATCTTACTGAACTTTTTGTACTGTATTTATCAGAGAAGGTAAAGGCTTCTAATCATCAGTGGGAAATAAGTTTAGTCTTAGATTATTACAATCTGTAAACATTTCCCATTAAATGTTCCATGCAATTCCATGAAGCTCATCTTTTTCTACATACCTAAGTTCCTTTTGAAAGGAATGTGGATATTCCGCAGCATCACAAGGGATCTGCATTGAGGAGAACAATAAGTTATGGGGGGAGGTTGAAGCGTGTAACTCCTAATGTTTAACTCTGTGGACTAAAACCAATCTTCTGCTCTTTTAGATAAAAACAACCTGATGGGACCTGGTTTTTGTTGTGAACTCAAAAAAAAGGTGATGAGAGAAAAATATTGTTCCAGATTAGGGATGCAGAAAGGAGCAGTGCAACCTGATGTCCGTGCAGGCTTTCTGTTAGTAAACTAAAATGTCTTTATCAGTGAATGCACTATAAATGTTTCTGTAGGAAAAGGAATTGTAAGGGAATCATACAGGCATATCTTGTTACTAGTGTTTCAGTTTTGGAATGTTTTAGATTAAATAAAGGGAATGAATATGATTTTTAGGAAGGACTGAACAGTCACATCAAATGTAATGTCTTAAATTGCCATAATTTGAGATTCTAAAATCACCCATCTTTTAAAAAATGCTCATGTATGTAATCTGGTAGCTGGGTTGATGGCCATTCCCCTGAGTTTCTGAACGCTGGAGATGTTTTCCATCTGTTTCTACAACTGGGTCAGTGGCCAAAAGGCACACAGCTAGAATGTGTTGCAGTTTAATACCTGTGTAGGAAACTAATGACCTCTTCCTAGGACACAATAGCCAAAGGTCTGTATAGAGGGAACCACACAGGGTGACTGTGTTGTTGCAATCAGGGGATGGTCATCTTATCCCTTGAACTCTTAAAACATGATTTCTGCCTTAGGGAACCTTAATACTTGCTCTTGATTTTTCATGATTGTAAAGATCTCATAACGTTTTATACTTAAAATCAGAAAGAATATTGAATCTTTTAAGATGAAGGTTAACATAAGATGCAATTATTTGATGTGCTGCAGGTGTCAGACTTCAGAGCATGTGTCGGAAGCAAACGAAGACCTGTTGGACATAGGACCAGCAGACGGCCCGGAACATGAGACCACCAGAACTCTGGAGCCTGAACTCCCCTCCCTCTGTCTCAAGCAAGTGTTTCCCAAGTACGCGAAGCAGTTTAACTACCTACGGATTGTGGACAGAGTGGCTGCGTTGTTTATCAGATTTCTTGGTGTGAAAGGGACAACAAAGTTGGGGCCAACAGGTTTCCGGACATTCATAAGGTCAGTAAGGTGAAGGTTGCTTTAGGAATTGCTTAATGTGTAGTCAAGAAGTTACAAACAGGTCCTGTGGAGTAGCACTGCTGTCCCTGGGCTTACCATCGGTTCTGCTGAGTAAAAGCGGGCCCTAACAGTAGTACATTTTTAGTTGTAGGTTGAGTAATGCTTTCTAAAGAACCTTTTCCCCACAAGTTCCACTGAATCATTGCAAATTTTTTATAAAATAGATAATTTTTTACCATTCCAAGCTCCCAAAATATGTGACCTATGAAGCTGTGTCTAGCAGGAACTTGGCTCTTTATTCTACAGCAGCTCAGTGATACACTGGGAGATACTATTTGCAATCTTTGTTAACATGTCATGTTCTAGTAAATTGTACGGATTCCAGTGTGAGAAAGTGACAACTGAAACTGGGTCACTTCATCTGGTTCTGTTGGCTGTGGGGCACAGCCATCTGCCCCAGGCCACCCAAAAGCCTTTCCAAATGCCAGTTGCTGCTGCATTGTGCACTAAGGATTTGCATTGTGAAATTGCAACTTGCAATGGCAAGGAACTCAATTTATTTTTTCCACATATTTTTTTATTTGTGAGGGTTTTCTTTTCATTGTTTTTTTATGGATAGATCTGTTGTAGTCATGGTACAAATATCTCATTTTCTGTCTTTCACTGACAGCGACAAAAGAAATAAGCAGCAGCAGCAGATGTACCCTTAAAATACGGATCCTGTTTCTATGCAGATGCATTTAGCATTCAGGAATGAATATAAACAATTTGATTTATACAAATTATGATATATAGAAAATGACTGAAGGCATCTGCTCTTTCCATAGACCAGTACAGGATTGTTTCCAATTCTGTATTTTCTATTGTTTAGTCCAGCCTTAATTTGGCACTTGTAAGAGGAACACAGAATAAATGCCAACGTTTTAAGAATGTGAAAATAAATTGCCATATCTCAATGCAGTAGTGTTTGCAGCTTCTTAATGCATGTTAAATGAAACCTTTTAATATTGGCAGATACGTTGTTTATTTTTCCCAGGGGATCTATAGCAACTATTTGGCCCTTCTCTGAATGCTGACATTACTGCTCATTTCAGAAATAAGGTCATGATTCTAAGATGTGTTTTATATCACTTTTCAAGAAGCAAATGGCACACAGGTGTGATTTTGGGTGTGTGGGGAAGTGGTTGCAGAGACTATCCACTCACATTTTAGCTAATCACAATCTGTTCTCCTTCAATAATGTCTTCATTATAAAAAGTAGCTCAAAGAAAAGCACTGATGGTGGCTCCAGGCCTTGCTTGTGTTCTGCCTAAGATTTCTTTGGGACTGTCTAGGCCAGACCTTAACTTTGTTTTAAGGGAGCTTTGCTTATGCTATGAAAGAGTAAGATTCTTTTATATTATCCAGGTTTTGGGGGAATTTTTAGGGCTTTTGGGGTATGTGTGTTGGGTTTTTGTTGTTGGGTTTTTCTCTTTTCTGGCTGGAAATTTTGGCCCGCTCTTTGGCATGTGTTCTTGTTCCAGCCAGGCTGCCAGACATCTGGAAATCCTGGACAGATGGCTAATGCTCAGAGACTGATCAACACCACTGCAGGCTCAGACCACACAAGTGTCAGATCTCCTACATGTGCTTATCACTGAATGCCCGAGATACAGCCAGAGATGCTGCTGTTTTCCATGCAGCCTTCAGGAATGCACAGGGCAAATCTGCTCAGTGTTCAGGCATGAAGAAGTAATTCTGTGCCTGAAAGCTTTCCTCAAACCTTTTTCAACCAGGATCCATCAAATAAGAGAGTATTTTTCTGTGCAAACTGCCTGATGTTGATAGTCTGTGCTGATTTCTGTTGGGTTTTGCAGTGTACCAATGAATTCTAGTCTGTTATGGCCTCAGAGAGAGTGCTGGCAATAGGTGGGAGAAAGGAGTGTATAACAGTTAAGTCCTATTTTTAATTGAAATATCCAGGGTTTTCTCCTTTTTTTCCTGCTTTGTTGCAACACCCAAATAAACCAGATAATCTATAATCTGACCTGCTGCCTTTCTGTGACTAGGGACTGACATGAGATTGCACATGGAAATTGGATTTAGGTGCGTGTCTCTAAGGGGGACACTTCTCTTGCCCAGGGTCCCTTCTGGCAGAGGGTGCTGGTGTGATCTGAACAGGCAGCAGGACAAGGCACATACAAGAGGTGTTCTGCACATGAAAAATTCAGGCCTATTTCAGATACGTATGCTTCATAGGTGCTTTATTTGACCAAGCATGTCACAGTGTGTACACATGACGTGGGTAAACTTTTCTCCCCAGTGTTCTTTCAGTTGCCTTTGCAGAATTTTTCCTGACTTGGAATTTTGGATGTAATCAGATTTTCTTCTTTGTTTTGTCTGTTTTTAACAGAAACTGCAAACTGAGTAACAGCAATTTTTCAATGGCTTGTGTGGATATCTTATATATTGACATCACAAGAAGGAGGAATGGCATGGGAATGGACCACAGAGAATCAGGTAACAGTGTTCTGTAGTGGAAAACTATGGAAGCTGGGGTTTTCCGTGCAATTTTGGTAGATCAAGCACATCTCAAAACATGCAGGGCCTTTACTAAGGTTGAGTAGCAGTGCTACAACCACTCCTTGCTGTAATTGTTTTGTTCTACAGGAGCTAGGTCAATCAGCCAACCCAGCCTGCAGTAGTGAATTACCTCCCCATCTGCTTTGGTCACATTTTCAGATCTGAGACAGTAATCTATCAAATAGCAGAGTTCAGGGATTATTTTCTTGTTATTTTAATGGCCTAAATACAGTATTTATTATATAACTTAATTTCTAAAATTGCTATTACACCTCTGTATGAAATTGAGTGCATAAATTTGGCAACTTCTCCAACAGCTTCTGTAAAATATTGAACAATTTCAGCTGCTCAGATATTCCCATCTCAACCGAAACAAAATGTTCCTGACAACAGTTTTTGGAGCCATTTATAGCAGGGAAACAGCAGCTGGAGTATTCCGGAAGGTTTTATGCCACTGCTCCTTGTGGCCATCAAGGAGGATTGTCAAGGTTCCATTTAAATCAGTGTAGGATAAAGAGTTGCACCTCGATGCTGCTGGTATAACTAGCATGCTGGTCACAGAGCTGCAGGCTGGCATCTTCCCAGAAACTGGTTCAAAATACAGTTTAATATAAGAAGCTGAACATGGACATGGATCTGTATAATCATGTATTTTTTCTTTTAGTGCTAAAATAGCAGAAGAATCAAAAGTCTCCAAGTTGAGACTTACTTCTGTATTTGTTATCCACCCCCGTTACATCTGCAGCTCCCTCCTGCATAAAAATCAAGTATCAGTCATAAGTGTATTAATTTCTGACACCATAAAAATTAGTTGTATATAACCTTTTGGAACGTTTGAAGGTGCTTCAGAAATGTTAATGAAGCTTATATGTGTATGAAATAGATAAGTATTACGTGTCTTTCTTGAATATGCGTATCCTACACTATAGAGTCTGTGTATATGAAGTCAGGTAAGATAAGGCAAAAAGGGAGTAAGTAGAATATAGACTGTTCACGAGGCTGACAGAAAGAATAAATCTAGACCTAAGAATAGAAGGGAGAAAATGAAGGTATGGTGAGAAGGAGGCAGTATGGTTTATTGTGCGTGAACTCCCATACTACTTTAAGTAGGTTTGGGTCACCTTAGTTTCACAGGTATGTAAAATCTGAGTATTTGCAGTTAGCATTTCAGTGTGGGTAGAAGCCATTTATGTGGTGAGCTGATAGAATTCCACGAGCAAAAGTAATAGAAATGCAAATGAACCTTCAGGCTTTGAGAAATTAAAGAGATTTGTTGATGGGTTCAGCAAACCAGATGTTGTGTTAAAACACAAAATACCCTCCATTTCTGCTGGCTCCGTGTCTGGCCCACTTCCAGCTGTAACCAGTACAGAAACTCTTGCTGTTGCTCTACAACACCAGCTTCTAACTTCTTCCATTATATGCTTCACATGAGTGTCACTTCTGGGGGAGAAAGTGCATGTGGTACCAAAGGTGCTTTCCCTGCCTGCAGCTCACCGTGACTGATAAAGTAATTTACTGAGCTGGCAGCTGCTGCTTTCAGATAACAATTCCTTTGCAAGCTCTTTTACAGGCAGGGTTGTAAGTAACCCCACCTGCAGTCTGAGTGGAGAGAAATGATACTTCACAATGTAATTGTAATATTCTGAAAAGGTCCTTTCCTGCAGCATCAATGAGCCAACATCCAGTTAAAAAAAACCCAAAGCTTTCAACATCACATCCTAAAATAATCTCCTTAAAGTGTATGTTCAGACTGGGAGAGCCAGTTAAAGCACAAAGCAGCTATAACAGTTCCTTGTTGCTGGCATTCTGCAAACCAAATTGTGGTCTTGCTTCTTAATTAAGAATTAAATAGGTATTACTTCAAGGGTTTAAATACAATGATTAGTGTTAGCATGCAGCCCCTCTTCCCACTACCACAGCCAATGGATTATTAGTAAGATGTGATCAAACAGCACCTGAAGAGGCCATGCTGCAGTACATGGTTTCTGCAGGGGACTTTTGTTTGTGAAGGGGCAGAGCAGAGTTCTGTTATAGCAGAGAAATGTTTTGGCACTTCCCCTTCATACACAATTCAGCTGTTTGTTTTTCATTCAGTTGAAACACAATTACTAGTGCAGAATTAATGGGTATGGCTGAAAAAAGGCCTCTTCACCTGCAGAAGGAGGGCTGAGGAGTCATACCCACCACAGGCTCTGCAGAAGGGAAGCAATACTTCAAATAAACTCACTTCTGTGATAAGGTGATACTTGGTAATGGGGTTATCGTTGCAGTGCTGCAGACTGAAATAACAAACTGTTTAAGTAGTTCTGCATTTGAACTTTTGGTTTAGGTCCGTGTCTCAAAATACAAGGTTTAAATGACTCAATTCAGTTGCCGGTAGAAACTTAATTTTTCGGGTGGATTGTTTTCCTTGAAGCTCAATATGTTACTGTGTGTCTGACTTGGTTTCTACTTAATATTTGAGGCAGCAGGAATTGAGGCTGATATTATATCAATTTAATTGTACAACATCTTAAAATCAGTTGTTGCTGTACCAGTTTGCCTCCCGATGCCAGGCTGTTGGATAGGCTGATGTCTGATACTAGGAATCCTCCACCACTGAGGCTACCACCTATCTATAACCCAGCCAGGTCTTACCCTGTACTTGAACACTAAATGAGCTTTTGTGTGTTATGTACAAATAAAACCTTGCCTTTTGGTCTTTGAAGGCCAGATGGTTTTTACGTAAGCATTCTAGATGGCCTCTGTGTAAATGAAAAACGCTAACTAACACTAACCCTGCACATACACATTTGGCCTTGCTGGCAAAAGAAACAAAGAGATAGTGTTATGCTTAAAGAATGTAGTTTGCTAGGGAGCAGTGAGCTATGAATCTCCCTCCTATAAACACCTTTTCCTTGCAGGAATGTGTTTGCAAGCCTTTGTGGAAGCTTTCTTCTGTCTGGCTCAGAAGAAATACAAGTCCCTCCCACTCCACCAGCAAGTGACATTGCTGATTGATTTCTGTGAGTATCAGCTCGCTGTCCTGGACGAAAAGCGTCGAGCTGTTTGTCACGCAGACGGACCTCACCTCACACCAGCCACACATCCATCCCTCCTGGGTCGCTCGGCCTCAGCTAGTAAGCTTTCAGATTATAGGAATCATCGTTAGTAACAGTGCTAATTCACCAGCACAGAACTGAGATTTAATCCCCAGGTACGTGCATGTACTGCAGGAGGAGAGACCGAGCCCTGAATCCCTTCAGCTGATAGGCATAGTTATTTATTTCAGCTTTTCTTATTTCTGCTCTTCAAAAAGCCTCCTGCAAGCTCCCATTCCCAAATAACAACCCTGGCAATAGCTGTTTATTTACAGCTCTGTTGGACCTGCAGCACACCTCACGTGGCAAACTGTGCTTTCATCCCAAGTGTATAGAAAACCACGTGTGAAGACAAGGACCAAAATACAGCAGGATAATAACCAGCATCACGGAGTTGCAGTGACTGAGAGGTACTCTTATGTCAACAGAATTACATTGCTCTGTATGCACTGGACATATTATGGAAACCAACTAAGGAGCTGCAGTCTCAAATACCAGTTGCAGACTTTGGAAAACTGAAACCTGGAGTTTGGTTTGTGGTCAGACTTCAGGCTTTGACTCTCTTCTTTCGGTCACTTGGACTGTACATGTTGGAATCAATGCAGATTTGGTCGTTGACTTTGTACTTCTTTTCTAAAGTCGGTCTTAAAACACTGAAATGATAATTTTGGCTTCTACTCTTTGTACATGTCTCTGCCATGACAAGTACTGTTAATTTTTTAAAGAAAAACTAAAGATATTTATCCTTTTGCTTCCTTAGAACTGATAAGCTCACCCTTAGAGGAAAAACGTACTTCATTAAGTCTGATTCAGTGAATCAAGCGGTGGTTTTGTCTTCAGGTACTAAGCACTGCTTCTGCAAATAGCTTTACAGTGTAAAGAGTTCATTTAAATTCCGGTGAAGCCAGTCCTGTCACTGACTTTGGGCTGAGCTATTGTATTCTAGGTTTGCTGATTTTTTGCCTTTTGCATGTTTGTTGCCCTCTCTGGACCGGCAGTAACATCTAGAGCAGATTTTTCTTTTGTCTTTGCACATATTTTTCATTTTTTTCCCTAAATAACTGTATAATTCTGTAAAAATGAGATCTGTATTATGTAACAGGAGATCTTGTCAGGAATGCTGGGCTATACCACTGCAGTTGTACAGAAGTAGTCTTTATTTTTCAAGGAGGGAGCCCTGACACTGATAATCACGCTGTTTGGGGGGGAGGCTGAGCACAATGTGACACTGGCTGGAAGGACAGGAATAACTTGGAACTTCAGTCAAATCCTTTTCAGTCTCATATTTTATTACAAGAATGTATGTCTACATCCGAGTTTGATTTCCCTCCTTTGCTCTATTCTTTAATGTTAATGAGTCTGCTTATGTTCCAGTGTCCCTCATGCTGTCAGCAGTCACAAATGGCACAGGCATTTAGCTTTGGATTGGAGAAAATTACCTGAGCTCAAGGTCACAATGTGCCAATGGCTGGTGTGTCAGAGGAGTGATGTTGCAGGAAGCACACTGCCAGTGCCAGGAAGCCCACCCACTTAATGCCATGGACTAAATGCACACACCATATCGAGTGAGTTGTTACTTAGAAGTTTAGAGTTTCTTTCTTGTTTTTTCTCTTAAGCAGCATGGCACTCCAATGCAGAAGACAAGCTGAGCCCACAAGAAAGTAATACCTAGCGTGTGCTAATACCAAATGTGGGCATCCCTTCTTCTCTTTGTCTTTTCTGTAACAGCAGTGAAAGCAGCAGTAGATGATCTTTCTCAGTTCAATGGCTAGACTGCTTCACATTTTATGTATTGTGCATAAGAGGCCAGTTTGCAGCCTAATGCCACTGCCCTCAGCCTGGTTTAAGTTTCATAAAGATTATTGCAGTATGAAGATAAAATGCCAAACTCTAAGGTCTGGCATCTGTCAGAACAAATGAAGCTGAAAGGGCCATTTTTTTCACACTTTCATTGTAATATATTTGAAGACATTCACAAGTTGAAAAATGGTTACTTCTTACTTGGGGACATCTGACATTTGTCTTGCGATTGGCAGTGTGTTACTAGAAAATAGCTTACAGTTTCTCTCATCCTGTGATTGATGTCCTGTAGAGACAGAGTTGCAGAAGAGTCAGATTTGAAATGCTACAACTGTGAATGTCTTTCCTTACAGCTTTCTTTAGTATGATGTATGGCCTAAAATACCCAAGTTTTGCTATTGTATAAATTACCCTTATCTCAGTGGAATAAATGAATTATTGTATATAATGAACACTAATAAGATCTCTCTCTGGTTTGGAGATCTTGATATTCTCTGGATCAAACAGATTTTTACAGCCTGCTGCATACACAGGCTGGCTGCAGTTTGCCCTGTTTATCTCCCCCTTCAAATATGAAGGGTCCCTTGTAGAATAGTCAAAATATTCAGTTATCTGTCTCTAGTAATCCAGTGTTCATGTACTTACATAATTGGAAAGCTGAATGCCACATTATTCTCAGGGGAAGGGGGAGATAAAACAGGAGTGTACTTTGGAGACTTAATGACAAAGTCACATTTCTCTTCCCTCCCATCTAATGCAATTTCCTCTGAATATGATTTAACATCCAAAGTAATTTCACATAGCCTTTAAGTCACCAGTCTGCACACACACACCAGAAAAATGGCCAGGGATACTTTATTCAGAACAGGAAGGCTAATACACTATAATCTATTAGTTGTGAGGTCCCTTTTTAGCTAAAGAAACAATACATGGAAGGCAGTAGCTGTTGGTTTTTAATAGTACTTTTCTATATATTCTTTGCAGAGAGTACAACAGCACTCACTATGCTATTCATGACATATGATATGGACAGTGCACACCTGTGCAGTCTTTCTCGTTAGCAGACACACTGGACCTGGTATTCCTCTGGATATAATTCAGAGTAAAACACTTCATCATCTAAGGAAGATTTGAGGCAAGTGAGTCCAGAACTTCAGTTCAGATATCCCCCTTCCCTGCAGGCTTGTATCCAGCCTAAATGTGCTCAAACTCACTCAATGATTCCTTGTTTGGGTTTTCTTTCTCTGCATATGGTTGTTGTAGGCTAAAAGAGCTGAAATTTATCTTCTGCCTCATCTGGACTGGGCTCTTGACACTTAAAAGCCCTCTGCCCAACTCTCCCTAATACAGCTATGTATTTTAGTATATTTTTAATGTGCACAAGCAGATCACTTCACTTGCCACATACTAGTAGCTGCTTTCTTTTCATTTAAGACAGCTGGAAGGGAGGGCCTCAGCTAATTGCACAGATTATGCTCAGGTGAGAGACCGAAGTCGACCTGCTTCTGCATTGGTCCTCTCAGTGGCAGCTCCCACCTCTGTACTCTGCAGGTGATCCTCATTTTCTTGATTTGCCCCTCTGCTTGTACCAGTCTTGTGTTCAGCTCACTGCTGGGAGGTCAAAGCCTGCCTGGAAACTCTTCATGATGAAGAAGGATTTAGTTTTCTCCTGGCTGAGCCTCCTGCAGTTCACTGGACAGGGTAGGTGCAAATCCTCATGCTCTGGGTGCCCAGTTTGGAAGGGGCTGGAACCTCTGTGGTGATTTTGGGGGGTCACAAGGGCATTGCTTCTGCTGTGCTGGGTGTGGGAGCCCTTGAGGGCTGTGCTAGGGTGGTAGGAAGAGCTGCTGCAGGAGTAGCTGCTGGTTGGGCCCTAACTGGTGCGTCAACTCTGCGCTTGCTTAGCATGGTATGAGTTATAGTCACCATCACAGCTTCTTCTTTCTAGCCACTGCTGTGTCTGACCTCATTCAGATCTCTGCCTGATGGACAGTGGCAACCTGCTGCTAAATATTACCCCGTTCCCTCTGATTTGTTTTCTTTTGATCGTGCTTTGCTGTGTTTCCTCCTGATTCCACAGTTTTGCTTCTCAGCTTGCCTAATAAACTGGTGTGGTCAACTTGTCCAAATCCATTAGTTCAGCTCCCTGTGTTGCTGTACAACTGTTTCTGTTGCACACTGTTTCCTTTCTGAAGGTGAATCTGTCCTGCACCGTCTGGCCAAGGTGTTGCCTTGCAGCAGACTTTGCCGAGTCGATGCATCAAATTGAGCTTTTCTGTGTTGGTGGCTGGAGGATTGGTCTCTGGTGTTCTCAGGTGGCTGCTGGCCCTCAGCCTGCCAGCCCCTCTCCTCTCAGCCCCGCTTCAGCTTCACAGAGCAGAAACATGCAATCAAAGGGGCAACAAATTGCAACTCATTCAGGTCCAGCCCTACCAGATAGAGCCCCATGGGCTTCCTTGGAGAATCCCCATGAGTAATGGCCATGCAGGGTGGCGAGGGAGGGGTTGGCAGGGATGTTGTAGAGTCCTGAGTAAAGAGGTGCCTTTTCATAGCAATTCCTGTTGCTCATTGTCAAAGAGGAGGAATTGGACGGTGGGTCCTGCCTGGCCTTTATGCTATTAGTACCTAATGAGCATGCCGAGGTGCTGCTGTGCAGCTTGAAATGAGGAGATGAGGTTGAAGTAATGGGCGCATGTGTTGTGAGTTGTGCTTGCTTCTGTTTCTGTTCTCCTCCATGCACAGCGGTGGATCAAAGCCACCCAAAGCATTGAGCTGTGTACGGCATCACCCCGTAGGGTGGGCAGGGGGATCCTCTCCTTTCCAAGGTCCTCGCAAGTGCTGGGAGTCGGGGCTGTGCTTACCATGGGCTTTACTAATATTGTTCAATGACTGTTAAATGGACCAGAGTTCAGTAGCAATTAATAAGTCTTGCTAAGAAGTGCATCAGTACCAAGCCCTGGATGGATTATGCTGAGATGATGTAGATGAGGAGATGAAGAGTGTGGGTCTCGGCTGGGTGGGAGCGCAGGGAGGGGAGCAGCAGGGCTCCTCGGATCCCAGCAGGCTGGAAGAGCCCGTGAGCTTTGGTGGAACACAAACAGATCTTTAGAAAAGTGATCTTTCTTTTCTTCTCCTTCCCTCTCTCACCCATTGCCCTCTGTTCTCATCAAAGAGCTTCACTTCGTTTATTTGACTTGAAACTCTTGTTCTGCAGCTTTAAACTTTGCAATTTTACCTTTGCTTTTCCCTTTTATCTTCTTACTTTTCCCTCCCTTATTGTCACAATGGATGGGAGATCTGAACTCTCTCACCTTCCCTCTCCTGATCCTGGGTTTTTTTGGTGTTATCAAGTTAGATCATTGAATTCTATAGTTCTCATTGATGTTGCTGGTTGCGGGAGAGTTGCTTTGCAGGGAAGTTTTGTCTGAAGAACCAGGATCTCCCCACCGCATCCCAGCTCCCCAGTCTGTAGTTCAGCCTGTTCTGTACCTGTCTCTGCTGCTGGTGCTGTGCTCCCCCTCCTCTGTAGCAGGCTGTGTACCCAGGAACCTTGTGCTGTGTGTGGCTGCAGAGCAGGGCTGGAAGTCAGCACAGATTTTGCACTACCTGATGCTGTTACCTGTAGCCTTTAGGAGGTGGGAGAACCTGCCAGCATCCAGAGTGTTTGTGGCTGTTCTAAGGCCTGTGCCAAACAGGTCTGTGCACAGGGACCTTTGTATTGTGACTGTAAAAATCTCTTGATAGTGAAGTCAGCAATTCAAGCAATGGTAGCAAGGGTTGCCTTTTCAAAGTGTTTAGCTATAGGTATTTCCCTGCGCTTCTGGCCATGCTTTATATGCAGCCCCGTGGCTGCCATCCCTGCAGCAGCTTCCCCATGGCCTGTCTTGTCAGCTGCTGTCAGGAGCAAGCCTCATGCTCATCCTTCTGCCGTGCTCACCCGCACCTCACACCTCTTCTGCCAGCACACGAGCCCATTTGCTGCAGGTGAGCTGGTGAGGCCAGGATCCTGTGCAGCAAATGAGCATTAACCAGCTTTATCCTCTTAGGAATGGCTCTGTTTATATAGCTGTCACCTCCCTTTGGAGGTGCTGCCTGGCAGGACTGCTAATGTGCTTCTGCCTGTGAGTGCAGCAAACACTCAGGTGTGCTCTGTAATGAGAAACCTGTCCCCGAAGCTGTGAGTGCTGTCACCACCCATCTCTGTGTCTGTCTGGCAGCTCTGCTGCTCCATTACTGGGTTTGTTATACCCGCCTCTGCTTTTAAACTTGGTTTTGTGTGGGAGAGATATTTATTTCCCTTTTCTCCTTGTGCACAGTTTGGGAGGAGGTGTGAGAACGCTCTTGTCTTCTGAGTCAGTTGAGTGAGCAGCAGAGAGTGGGTGTGCAGAGATGTAGGATACCCCAACGGCAGCAAGGCTGATAGACTAGTGCAGCTGAGATATTCAGCAGTGCTTCACTGTGGCTTTGAGTAGAGCTCTTTTCTGTGCCCATCATTTCTCACTGACTGTAGTGATCTGGATGCTCAGGTACATTTACAGTGCTTGGAGAGGGACCCGTCAGTCTCAGAGGCTTCTTTTGCTGCTATCCCTTTCCTGTCTGTGGGCTGTTCAAGGTCTGTATGGTAACAGGGTTGCCTGTAAGGTGATTCTAGTAAGAAAAGGTGTGATCTTGATGCCTGGGCTGTGTTTGTGTCTGGTGCTGTGTTCTAGGTGGTGCTGGTCAAAGGCCAGAGGAGCTCTTAAACCATTTCTAGTGCAGCAGGGAACTTGAGCCCCCAGCTCCACTCCTTGGCTCTGGCAGGGAGCCTGGTTCCTGTGCTGTGGTGCAGGCTTGTTGGCCTTTGGTTGCAAGGTACGAGTGTGCAGGAGGATCTGGTTCTTTTCCACCCCTGCCGTGCTGCCCTGTGAAGGGTGGCACTGGGGAGATCAGGATGCTGCTGGCAGGGGTGGGAGCTGGTTGTGCAGTGCCTGGCACTGAGATGAATGTGCCTGGACAGCAGCAGCACGGTTTGGTCTTTGTATGCTGTTACCATCAGCTACTGCAGCTCGCTCACATCTTGTTGAAAGGGAGGGTACATGCGGGTGGGCAAGGGGGATGGCATCAGCCATCACATGCTTCCCCAGGGGGAAAAGCATCCTGAGGCTGGCATGAGGCTGTGAATCTCAGCTGTCTGCAAAAGAGCAACGAGCTTGTTCAGAGCCTCAGGTGGTTTCTGCCTTTCATGTTACTGGGAGGTGTGTGTCACAGAAGCACCCAGGTCTGCGCAGGGGAGAGGGATGTTTGTTGTGCGCTTGTCTGATCTGGCTGTATCCCCATCTTCAGCCCACTACAGAGATTTCCTCCTGTTGTAGCTTTCTCTCCCACTGGGAGCCTCATGAGACACCCATATCTTAGTTGTTGCTGAGCAGTGTGTACAATGGGTCAAGGACTTTTAGTTTCCCATGCTATGCAA